TCTGTAGCACAGCCTGCCCTTGAACTCACAGAAATCCCCCTGCCTCTGCCTCCCGAGTTCTGGAATTAAAGGCGTGCGCCACCAATGCCTGGCATGAATTAATTTTTTAAGGGCTTTATTTTTTTATTTTATTTTATTTTTTATTAGTTCAAATTAGGAACAAGCTTGCTTCACATGTCAATCCCTTCTCCCTCTCCCTTCCCCCCCAACCCCCTTCTCGCCCCCCTCCACTCCCCAAGCAGGGTAGGGCCCTCGACAGGGGCTCTCCAGGCTTCATTTTTAATTATGTGTATATGTGTATATCTGTGTGGAGGTGTGTGCATGTGAGTGCAAGTGCCCTGAAGAGGGTATTGGATGCCCTGTTTCTGGGGCTGTGAGCCACCTGAAGTGGGTGTTGGGAACTGAACTCACACTCTCTGGAACAGCATCAAGCACTCAACCACTGAGTCAGCTCTCCAGTCTCATGTAAGACACATCAAGCAATACTTGGCACAGAGTGAAAACTTAATAAATGCTGGCTAGTACTCCTGCCATGGTACTTTACTCAAACCCAACAACTGTAAGTTAAGCTGGTTCCGGCCAAGGGTTTGTAGGGGGAAATGGTAGCACAGGGAGGCTGGGCAATGCTACCGGGTGAGACTGCAGGATGCAAGCTCAATCATTGGGCTCAGGGCCCCAGGTCTCAGCTTCATTCTGCTGCCACACAACTCAGGGTACCTCAGTTCAAATTCTCTGCTCCATTGTTAGCTTGTTGGGTTTGCACCACGAGGTGCCTCGGCAGAGCGTGTAGAGTTTTACAGATAAGTACACACACTCCAGGGATACTGAGGGATTGCCCAACACCAGGTGGCCATTGCAGATCAGAGGGGGAAATCCAGTAACCTGATTCCCAGGCCTGCCCTTTTCCCATACTGTCCTGGAATCAAGTCCACACTTTGCCATGACAGTCAAATCCTGCCTGTGCCTCACCTGGTTCAGAGTCTGTATCCACTAGGCTGAAACAGTTTCAGAGTACATGCTGGGCACAGCTGTGCCCAAGACTGATCCGATTGCTGTAGTGTCTAATCCAGCCATCTATCCCTAACCTTACCTTGGCTTTCTTCCTCTTGGCTGCCACTAGGAGGAGATGATACCGAGGAGCAACATGAAGGCTGACATCTTCCAGGCCAGCCGCTGGAAGCAGCAGGGCAGACAAAGTCTTTTCAGGATAGCCCTGGTCCAGAGCCTCATTGATGAGGCTGATGGCGAGGACCTCTGAGGGAGACATCTCCATGAGCAGCAGCCCCAAACTCAAGACTAAGGGAAAGGCTGCCCGAGGGAAATACTCACGATCTGTTTCTTCCTGGACCTGTGCATTGACCTGGCACACGGCAGCCTGTAGGTCATTCCAGCTCAGGAAGGCTCTATCCATTCCTTGAAGCCGTTGCACCTTTACCAGGGCATCAAAGTAACTAGCAGCAGAGAAAGGAGAGGCATGAGCACACAGTCACAAGTGGAGAAAGCTTTGAGTTGGCTTCTCCCTAGACCACCTTAATTTCCAGGTGTCTTCTCCCTTTATTCTGAGCCCCCTGTGTGGAGTACAGAGCTCTTTAAGCTTCAGTCATCTTTTCCCTCCTTGCTCTTACCCCAGATCTCAGCCACTCACCAGGCCATTAATGACTTACACTAATGAATCCCAAAGCATACTTCCATCCTTCAGGGGCCCTGGGGACTGCTGAGGATCCCCCTACCCCAGAATGCCAGTCAGGGTCTCAGATACCCTCGCTTACATCTGAACTCCCGACCCCCTCAGTCTATCTTTGTGCCTCAGCCTGTCCCTTCTGGATAAACATCTGTGGAGTCAGCTCCCACTCATTCCCTCTGCCACCAATTCTGCTTTCAGAATACATTTACACGCTGCCATCTTCTTCCCACTCCTGCTGCTCCCACCTCGGGGGAAGCAGTGTTCCTAAAAGGCATCCCTGCTGCTCTGCCTGGCCCAGGCCCTGTGGTGCAGCCTCAGCACAGCCAGAGTGATCTTGGTAAAGCAGGTCAGACGGGCTCCTTCCATGATTGAGGACATGGGCTGGTCACTGCTAGCCCACTCCTTCCCTGCCTCACTCCATTTGTCCACTCTGGCTTCCTTTTGTTTTGTTTGGGACACCAGGGAGTTAAACCCAGATCCTCAGACATGCCATGCAGGCACTCACCACTGAGCTATTCCCAAGCTCTTCCTGATGTTCTGTGAGTGCACCTAGGACACTCTCCTGTCCTGAAGGGCATCATGGGAATAGCTCTTCCTCAAAAGCCATCTATAACTACATTGTGTGAATAGGAAAACTGCCCCAGCCGCAGTCCTGTTTTGTTTGGCCCCATAGCTCTGAACCCGTCCAATCATAACTCCTGCTTGTGTATATGTTTGCCAAGAGCGGGGATTTGGTTTAGTCACTATTTTCCACACCTAGAATGGCATCTGGCAGTGTGTAGGCACTCAACATTTGCTCCGAAAAAAATGAAGAGGAAATGGGATGATCATGCACTCCTCCCCTGGGAAAGAGACACAGCAGGGGCCACTGTGAGCAGGACCAGGGGGCCAGGACCAAGAATGGGGGTCAGACAGAAGGCTACTGTCCAGTGCCTGCCACATTCATGCCATCCCCTCACTTCGGATATGTGGCTAAAACTTTCTCACTCACCGTTGAGCATTTTCTTCTTCTACCTGGGCCAAGCCCGTAGCAGGGTTCACCAGATTGTCCCAGAAGGCACAGGCATCCCTCGCTTCCAGAGCACGGTTAATGAGAACCACAGCTGACAGCATCTCCACAGCCACAAAGAGCTCTTCCTGGCTCAGCTCCTGTAGAGGAGAGAGTTAAGGGGAGTTGGGGGAACTGCTGGAGCCAGCCCACCCCAAGCTCTCCAACAGTCCATCTCCATTCCCAAGTTCCAGGAGTTCCATTTACTCCACAACACCATTCATGCTCAACACCTGGGACACATCTGGGACACATTGATCCACTAACACTACTCATGCTCAACACCCAGGATGCATTCATTCACCAACAACATTCATACTTTATACATGGGGATGTTTACTGTAAACACAATCATGAAGACTACACACAGTATTGTATTAATTTCCATAACAAGCCAAATGAGGTATGTACCATTAATAGCCCCATTTCCCAGCCAAGCCCATAGCTATGTGGTTAAATGAAGGGAGCTGCCTGACTGCAGAGCCCACACTCAACATGTGACTTCTGCCAACAGCCTTCTGGTCCCATATTGTATCAAGAACAGAACTGCATGAGCCGGGTGATGGTGGCACACGCCTTTAATCCCAGCACTCAGAGGTGGGAAAATCAGCTATATAACAAGTTCAAGGCCAGCATGAGGTATATAAGATCCTGTCTCTCAAAAAGCCAAAAAGGACAGAGAGAGAGAGACAGAGACAGAGACAGAGACAGAGACAGAGAGACACAGAGAGAGAGAGAGAGTCAGACAGGGATAGAACTTCATAGGGCTCTGGGCAGAGAAGACCAAGTGGCCATCTCATGCTATGCTGCACACCATGAGGCCCTGGCCCCATTTTCCAAGCCACTTTCTCTCTGTTTCCCTTCAAATATCTGCTTAGGCTGCTCTCTTTTTCTGGAGCATGCTTCCTGGATTCTACTAGGAGAGCTGCAAACAGCAACAATGACAGCTAAAACTTACATGCTAGGCACTTCTCAAAGCACATGTGCTAACTCACAGAGCCCTTGAAACAATCCTATGTGGTTGGTACCATTTACAAAAAAAAAACTGAGAAGCAGAGAAAGTAAATGAACTGTCAATATCTAAGAAGTAGCAGAGCATGATTTGAACTCAGGCCTCCCAGGCCTACAGCCTTCAGCACTATGCTTTCACCTCTTATATTTCTGTGCTGCTCTCCTGTTACTCAGCTGCTGTCATGGTACCAGTGTTGAAGCCAATGCTGTGTGCAGGTCATGTCTGAAGTAAATGCTCTATGAACACCTGCTGCCAGGGGGGAGGGGGGATTCACTATGGAGTCTCTTCTAGGGAGTCTTCCCAACTTACTGCTTACTCCATTTTCCTGGTCACTGCTGTAAAATCATCTTCCAGCTACACCATTTACTCTTCTATCTCTGCCTAGCCCCTTGGGTGTATTCTCACTCCTGCAGCTGACAGGGACGACCATAAGCAAAGCTCATACCTTGGTATCAGAAGAGCTGTGTGGACAGGAGTGAGGTGGGGCAGCCTTGTGGTTAAAGCATGTCCTGCCAGTTATGTTCAGCTCTGAATTCAGTCACAGTGCTGCTAGTCTGATGAGCAGGCAGGCACTCAACTTCTGCAACCCTCTTCTTAGCTCTAAGGCAAGGCTGCTGTCTGCACCAAGTGTGTGCAGTGCTACTGGCTGCCATAACGATCCTAGGAAGCAGACCTTCCCATCCTAATTTCTGGCCACTCCCCAAGCTGCTTGGGACCCCCAGAACTTACCCTCTGCTGCTGCTTCTGAAGCACAGACAGCTCCTGCTGGTACACAGCAGAGGCGAAGGGGTACACTTGGGGTAGTTGGGCTTCAGGGCACATGAGCTCCTTCACAGTGTCAGTGGCCACTTCCCTCTGGATGGCTCTGTTGATTCTCCACACAGCCTGGAGCACTGCAGAGGAGAACAGCAAGAAATCACTTGGGCTGAGTGTTCCCTGTTATCTTTACCAACTAGGCTCTGCTGGGACTGCTAAGGGAAATGGTTTTGTAACACTTCTAGAAAGCCATTCTACTAGATTCAAAATGCATTTCTAAATGTTCCAGAGGAAAGGCTATGGGGCACTTTAAAGAGAGACTCTGACAAGGCAGTGGTGGGGCATGTCTTTAATCTCTGTGAGTTTAAGGCCAGCCTGACCTACAGAGTGAGTTTCAGGACAGCTAGGGCTACACAGTGAAATTCTGTTTCAAATAACCAAAAGAGAGGGAGAGAAGGGCTCTGTGAAAGGCAGTGAGTTGGGCCCAGGAGTTGCATAGCTTAGAATGCAACAGAAAGTGGCTGTCACAGAAGCGGTGAGTTCCTAAGGCAGTGAGCACAAGATTGACAGGTGGAAATGGTGCATAACTAAGATGAAGTAAGTCAAAGGGCTCTGGGGACCAAACCTTAGTGACAGTGCAGAGGAATGAAGAGCCAGCTCCATTTACACTACAGTGGGTAGAGGAAGCTAAAAGGGGCCATAGCACACAAGTGTGGTTAGAGTTTATATACTCTGGGGCCAGCAGAAATGGAGCACACAATCTTGTGGGGAGGAATAAGGGTATGAGAAGACCTACAGCCAGCGCCCAGCTGTTGAGGCCATGCTAGAAGTGGCCCCACCCCAGTGCTATGGCAGTGCTGAGGAGGAGGGGTTCTGACTCGGAGCAAGCAGACAACTTTACAGAGAAGCCTTGGAGACAGCTCTGCAGACATTTCCACCTGCTTCTGACAGGTGAAATGTGGGAGAAATGTCAGTCAGAGGCTCAGAGCCCAGGGGCTGAGAAGGAAGCAAGGAGGAGCAGCCTGGGTGGTGAAATGTAAGCTGAAAAGCAAGGGAGAACACCCAGAAGTCCTCATCTGCCAGGGCAGGGCATGGAACCAAAGTGTGGGATAAAGAGCAGGGCTAGAGATGGCTCAGCAGCTAAGAACACTTGCTGCCTCGGGCGCAGTTCAGTTCCTAGTGCCCACACAGCCGCACATAAGACAGGATTTCTTTGTGTAGCTCTAGCTGTCCTGGAACCCACTCTGTAAACCAGGCTGCCTTGAACTCACAGAGATCCACCTGCCTCTGCCTCCTGAGAGCTGGGATTAAAGGTGTGTGCACCAACACTGCCCAGAATAGCAAAATAATGGAAGAGCCAGTTGGGTGTGGTGGCTCACACCAGTAAAGGAAACACTCAGAGTTAGCGGTTGAGAGGCTAAGGCAACAGTATCACATTGTGCTCCAGGCCAGCTTGAGCTACACAGTAAGATCATATCACAAAAAACAAAACAAACCTGGCGTTGGTGGCTCACCCAGCATTCCGGAGGCAGAGGCAGGTGGATCTCTGTGAGTTTGAGGCCAGCCTGGTCTCCAGAGCGAGTGCCAGGCTACACAGAGAAACCCTGTCTCGAAAAACCAAAACCAAAACCAAAACCAAACAAACAAACAAACAAAAAAACAAAATAAAAACAAGCCAAGAATGGAGAGCTGAAGCTTTCCTACAGAGAGATCTGTACCAAGATCACTCTGGCAACAACAATTAGGACTGAAGTGGGCTCATAGGGCAGGCAGCAGCCAGGAGCAGTCTAGAGGAGGCTGCAAACTGACAGAGGTAAACAAATGGTGACTGAGTGACTTCAAACCTGACATGGAGGCAAAGCTGAGTCGAGTCAGGCCTAGCTACAGACCCTGTAGCTGCCCCAGCACTCTAGTTGTCTTCACTCAACCTTGAATACAGTTATATTTGCACCTAATTTTTATTGTTTTGATTTTTTAGGTTTCTTTTATCATCCGTGTAAGATTGTTCTGCCTGCATGTGTGTGTGTGTGTGTGTGTGTGTGTGTGTGTGTGTGTACCATGTGCACCTCATGCCAGCAGAGGTCAGAAAAGTCCTCAGATCCAGTTTGGATCCCCTGGAACTGGAGTTACAGATGATTGTGAACCACCATGCGGGTACTAAGAACTGAACCAGGTCCTCTGCAAGAGCAACACCAGCTCTTAGCCACTGAACCATCTCTCCAGCCCTACATACAATGTCTTTTTATTTATTTATTTATTTATTTATTTATTTATTTATTTATTTATTATGCATAGTCTTCTGCCTGCATGCCAGCAGAGGGCAACAGACCTTATTTAAGGTGGTTGTGAGCTACCATGTGGGTGCTGGGAATTGAACTCAGGACCTCTGGAAGAGCAGTCAGTGCTCTTAACTGCTGAGCCATCTCTCCAGCCCTACAATGTCTTTTTAAAGGACAATGAATTAGAATGTGTTTTTTCCTCACCTGAGAAGTCACATTTCAGAAGTCAAAGAAATATAAACGGGCAGAAACAAAATTATAGGCAAACTCCCCAGAAGGCGCCTAGTCCTGGATAGCAGCAAGATGTCATTATCTTTTATTTGATGTGTCCCTCCAGGGGGTGCAGAGGGCAGAGGATATGAAGGGTAAGGTTCGTTGCTAGGCTTGGAACTAGACAGCAGTTTGCCTTGTCCAATACATATGCCAGTAAAGGGGCAAGATACACTACCAAGAGCCAGCAGAGCTCCAACCCCCACCTGGAGGGAGATGACTTACTGGCTTGCTCTTGGTCGCTCTTCTCATTGGCTGCAGCCACCCCGGCCTGGATCTCCTCCTTTTCTAGAAGCTTCATGAAGCCTAGCTCCTGTAAGAGGGCAGGGTTACAATAGAAGAGAGTTCCTGGGCTATGAATGTGCATTAGGAGCTGCTAGGACTCGGTCCTGTCTCTCCCTCCAGGCAGAAGAACTTGGCCTACCCATCTTTTTTTTTTTTTTTTTTTTTTCTATAATCCAGCACACATCTAAATTAACAACAGACTAAATGCAAGTATAAATAACATCAAACACAAACACGGGGCTGGAGAGATGGCTCAGAGGTTAAGAACACTGGCTGTTCTTCCAGAGGTTCTGAGTTCAATTCCCAACAACCACATGATGGCTCATAACCATCTATACTGCGATCTGATGCCCTCTTCTGACCTGCAGGCATACATGCAGGCAGAACACTGTATACATAATAAATCTTTCTAAAAAAATACATTCCCCAACATAAAAAGGAAAAAGTGGTAACTTAAAAAAAACAACATCAAACAGAAAACTAGTGCATTAAGGGCTGGAGAGATGGTTCCCTCGCTAAAGTGCTTCCCATGTAAGCAAGAGGACTGGAGAGTCACTCTCCAGAATCCATATAAGTCTTGCCTGTAATTCCAGCCTTAAATGCAAAGATGGGATTCCCAGATCAAGCTGGCTAGTAAGACTAGCTATACTGGTGAGCTTTGGATTCAATTAAGAGAACCTGCCTCAGTGAATAAGGTGGAGGAGTGGTTTCAGATGATTCTTGACATCAACTTTGGGCCTTCCACACACATGCTCACACATTTGCCTCCCCCATGTGAGCATACATATATACATATATACCCATGCCACAGACACATACACATGAAAAATGTAAGGGAGGGGGTCAAGGCATTGAAAATAAAGTTGATAAATCAAGACCCCCAATTCAGCAATGAGAAGTATATGATTACTTAATGGACTGGTCTGGTCCTTTCCTCTCAGTCTGAAGGACCCTATGCAGACCAGACAGCCTGGTCCACTATGCTTTGGTGGGTGATTCAGATTTAAACATGGAATCAGGGATGATATGTATGTTAGAGCATTCTCCACCCTACAGGCAGACAGGTGCTAGCCAGAGCCTGACCTGTGACTTCTGCTCTCTGTCTGAACTCAGCTGTTCCAGGTACCAGCCAGCCACGTCTCTTCTCACCCCTTGCAGGGCCAGGACAGGGTCTTGAAGGGCCTCAAGCAAGGCCCCGGGGCTCTGTCTCTCCAGAGCATCATCAACAACTTCTAGAGCCCCCTGGACTGAAAAACAGCAAAACTCCAAGTGTGTGAAAGCCTACTCTTCCCATCCCCTGAGAACCTGCCTTTTTCTGCCTCCCACAGACACAGGGAGCTCATGTGGTCCAGCCTACATCTTCCTCTTGGTCCTGCCTTCTCACTGCCCCAGACCTTGAGAATACCCTGGTCCTAGCAGGCAAACACCATCTTCCCTGCTCCATCTCCCCTCATACGTCCTTTTTTCTTCCTGTTTCCTTCCGCAATGTGACCCTGTGAGTCCTTGAACTCTTAATCTTCCTTCCTTAGCCTCCTGACTGCTGGGATCACAGGTGTGTGGTATTACTCCTTAGCTATCCTTCCCTCTTGAAGGACCCTAATCCAAGCATCCACCCCCAGCCCTGGGAGTTGAAAGGCCCATCCATTTGCCTCTGTCTTAATTTTCCATTCCCACAGGAGCTGCCTGGTATGAACCTCTTTGTTGTGGCTGGAGAGCAGGGCATATAATCCCTGGCCTATGATCTTTCCCTAGGGCAGGGTCTGGTTCACATAAGGCCATGGGGCTTATTTAAGCCCCCATCTCCAAGTTTCCCAGGCTTTCCCGGTCATCTCTTACCGTTGGCAAGGTTGATGTGGCCCTGGATCTCTGCCTGGGTGAGGCAGGACTCATAGATGTCCTGTTCTTGACCATCATCCTGCAAAGGTGAGATGCAGAAAGAGACTTGGGGACACAGTGCAACCTTCCTCCCTATCCTTGTCACACTCACTTCTGCAGACCAACAGCCAGGCCCAAAGACCGGTCTGCTTAGGACCCTGAGGAGAAAATGGGGTCTAATCACTGGCACCGAGAGTTAAGCCAATCAGCCCATGGATCCCCAGTCTCGTCTCATCTCATGCTTCATTCCAGAGCCACTTCAGCCCCCCAGACCCTTCTCCAGCCTTCTTGCTCAACAGACATTACTCAGGCTCCTCTCCACTTCTCTAGAGTCACAGGTCTATCTTTGAAAGCAGGACAAACTGCAGTCCTAGTTCCTTGAGACTCCCCAGCCTCTCAACTTATTGGCTTGTGTATTCCAAGGCTTCTCCTTACGTGGTTCCTGGCATTGGCAGCCTTCTCCATCTTGGCTAAGGCCAGCAGCTCTTGGTAGACAGCTGCCAAAGGTTCCCGAAGATTCCCCAGAAGAGCATTAGGATTCTGCAAGGCAGCCAGAGTGTCCTCCACCACCCCTCGCTCCACCGCATCGTTGATGGCAAGAACGGCTGCATGGACTTACAGGGGCGGGAGAACAAGGTCAGGAAGCCAGAAAGGACCCAGACCAGAACACAGCTAGCTGACCCATCTGCCTGTGGATATGAGAGATGCCAGAGCCCATCCAAGGGCCATAAGGCTTGTTGTCACCCCATCTCATGCCCCCCCCTGCCCACACCCTGCCCCATGCTCCCAAGTCCTACTCTAGGGCAGAGCCCTACCTGCCGCCTCATCAGCTGAAAACTCATTGGCCAAGATGCCTCCGATCTTGCTGAAGGCTGGTAACTGGAGGCCATATTTGGCCAGTTCAGAGGCAATGTTGCTGAGTTCCTCGGCTGCAATGGTATCAGAAGTGTTCTTCATTAGGCTCAGAACCCCCACACCCCTGCTTAGTCTATGGACAAGAGGAAGGAGCTGGCTTACCTGTGAACTTCACTTTCCCATACAGGTCACGGATCTGAGGGGCCAATCCCAGCCGGAAGAGGAAGAGACTGGGAAGAATGGAAGGTATCAGGTCACGCTGGGATCTGATTTTCACACCTTGTCCACAACGTGTAAAATTACAATGGAGACCCAGAGGTGAAGAGCACTTAGCACTTGTCCTCAAGTCACTCTAGCACACAGGGATTACCAGGCAAGGAGAGAGCTACTGAATGGGAATAAGATGCCATAGGGAGTCTCTGTAACTGTAATGGCTCCACAGAGGACGCACTGTGGAGCGTGCGTCACCTCACAAGGTAGAGACGGTCAAGAAGATTACAGCAAACAAAGCTGCTGAAGTCAGGAATGGAGACAAAGAAGGGCATGGGAAGGGAAAGCATGGAGAGATGGTGTAGTGGACACAGGAACTGGCCAGTCCCATTCTACGATTCAGCCAACTGGTATACCTGCCTGTGAATAGAGCCAAGTAGCCTTCCCTGATTGTAATAAGTGGTTTGCACATGATGCTCTTGATGGATCCTGGTTCTGATTCATTCATGTCTCATCACAAGCTAAGGACTTTATCCCGTTGTTCCTTCATTTACAAGGCTCACACATAAATGTGCCCACAAATAGACACACGAATGTAAACATCCATACAGATCTAAAATCTCACCCTCTCCAAAACTGCTCATTTGGCTACCCTCACTCCTTTCTATTATATTTATTACTACTGATTGATCCATCTATGGATTGATCTACCTAGAGCAGTGGTTCTCAATCAGTGAGCTGCATGCAACCCCTTTAAGGATCAAATGACCCTCTCATGGGGTCACCTAAGATGAACAGAAAATAGAGATATTTGCATTACAATTCATAACGGTAGCAAAAATTACGGTTATAAACTAGCAATGAAACAATTTTACAATTGGGGAATGATATTAAAGGGCCATAGCATTAGGAAGCCTGGGAACCACTGACCTAGAGGAACCTGGTTAACTAAAGTCAAGGATGTCTCACCTGAGAGCATGAATGCAATAGATCACCCGAGGCATATTCTTTTTGTCATAGATGTCCGTGGTTTCTGGGAGGAAAATCTAGAGGAGAAACCAGACCTTTGCTGCACATTGAGAAGGACAGCAGAGAGGAGGGTAGTGCAGTAAGTACACCACCCAGCTGGTGTGAGACAGGAGGCCTGGACTGAGCAATGCACCTCTCTCTTCAAGCCGAGCTGTGAGCACCCACAGCCCAGGCTTCTAAGTCAGTTTCTATAACCATCCCCATCCAGCACCATGTAAAAGAGGCTTACTAAGCCAACACAGCCAGGCACATAGTCACAGAGTATCCAGAGTTAGTTGACCACCAGATGAGACCTCAGAGGCTACAGGATGCAGGCTATAACCTCCAGGAAAAACAGGCCCCAGGCACTCAGCCTCCATAAGCCTGGTCCTTGACCTGAGATTTCCACCACATACGTGATGTGCTGGGGAGCTGACATATTCCCAGGGAGGACCCAGTGAGGCCGAGGCCCATAGAGACCTCTGATCTGTAGAAGCAACTTTAGCAACTTAAGAACTGAAACCTGCCGGGCGTTGGTGGCACAGAGCCCCAAGGAACTGTTCTCTTAGAGCAGACAGATAATCATTTTAGCATCCCGTTTTACCGAAGGCAGACCGATGTGGGCTACTGCAGAAAGCCAAAAGTTGATGTTGTCTGTGTGACGGAAATGCAAGCCAGTTGCCTGAAAGGGAGAAAAGAGAGACTGTTTTTATAGTTCTCAGGGCTCCCTATGGGTGGAACCCAGATATCAGCTTAAAGATTCATGGAGGAAGTGTAGGCGGAGCCAAAGGACCCCACCCTGTGGATCCCCTGCCTATGGAACAGAAAAACAGCTGAAACCCCACCAGGAATGGTTGAGCCAGCTAGACAATGGGATGGCTGGCACAGGGGAGGGTGGTGCAGAAGGCTTCCAAGCAGGCATAGGACAGGGGGTTTGGGCTGGCTAGAGTACAGAAAAGGGACACAGGCCCAGAAAGGCCCTTTAGGGTCGCAAAGCCCACAAGTGTGTGCACTGAGACTAGAAAACTCTCCAGGCCATTTGTACCTCAGGGCATCTTAAGACCCATGCAGCAGTGCTCAGCTGTTAGCAGAGCACCCACCTGGCGAGACACTGGTGAATGTCTTCTTCCCCAGTACAATTATTGTTCTGCTTTTCAGCCTCAAAAGTGATCATGTGTGGACTCCTAAGTCACATGGTCACCATACCCTTATAGCTTTGAGAAGAGCTTCATGGGAGGGAGAGATGGCAGGGGGATTAATTACACTGTGCCCACCTGGTACTGCAGCTGTCCCATGTCATAGATCTTCTTCAGGGGGACCACAGAGGGTGCAAAACAGTGGCCCAGCTTGGCCAGTAGCACTCCATTCCGGAGGCTCTCCTCCAGCTCTACTGGGGAAGGAAGCTCCTCCTTCAAGCACACCTCCATCCAGCTGTGAGCAGGAGAGCAGTTCTTACACACTGGCAGGCCACACAGGTATTTGTAGGACCCGCCCATCCCTCAAGTGACCTGACATACCATTCCTTCCCTACCCAAAATTCCCTTCTCTTCCTATTGTCTCACCATTTCCCACTTTCCCCAACCTGCTATAAATGCCTAAACATAAACATGCCAGCCCTTTGCCTTCATCCTGGGAAATCTCCCTGAGTGGCTTCCATACCTGCCTGTCTTCAAGGAGGTGTAGCCAGACTCTTACCCTGTTCTGTAAGGTAACCCCTTACTCTAGTCTAGCTACATATCTGACTCAAACCAAATAGAATCTGCCACTTCTGTCATTCGGCATGGTTCTGAAAACTTAGGTACAGAAAGCTCATGTCTGTTGGAATGATCTCCACAGTTCACACAATTCTGTTCTGAGGATGAGGGTATTAGAGGCCCTGTGAGTTGATGGAAGAGGAACAGCACAGGGACAGGAAGGCCAGACCTCTTAGAATCTTTCCATGCCATCTCCCTCACTTGGCCTCTTAAGCTCAACTGCACTCTGCAAAATGAGGCCAGCTTCACTGGTACTGCTGGCTTCAGTGGGCAGCTGCCAGAATCAGTGATCTGGTGATTCCGAGCACACTTTGAATATGAATATAAATGCATTTTACTGCTGGTGGCTATAGCATAATGAATGACTCCTGGGGTAAACTCTCCAGATATTGAGGTCTATAGATGTTTCCAAAGACAGCCAAGCACACTTTGATTCACACTGTTCCTGCTGGACACCTGGGTGATTGACTGACTGACTGATTGATTGATTGGTTGATCTGTGGGTTTTGCAAGACTCGGTTTCTCTGTGTAGCCCCAGCTGTCCTGGAAGTCACTCTATAGACCAGACTGGCCTTGAACTCACAGAGATCCGCCTGCTTCTATCCCAAGAATGCCTGGATCTTAGGTGTGCACCACCACACCCAACTGACACCTGTTTTCTTATCTGTTCTAGTCTACCTTTTGGGGGGGAAACATTAAAATAGACTATTGGCTAAAAAGAAAAGAGGGATAGCTCAGTGGTTAAGAGTACTGGCTGTTCTTCCAGAGGACATGGGTCCGGAGCCATATGGTGGCTCACAAACCATCTGTAACTCTAGTTCCAGGGTATCTGATACCCACTTGGTACACAGACATCAGGCAAGCAAAACACCATACACATTCATTTAAGTTAAATTTTAAAAACCTTTTTAATGGGTGGTGGTGGCACATGCCTTTAATCCCTCCCAGCACAGGGGCAGGAGGATCTCTGAGTTCGAGGCCAGCCTGATCTACAAAGCAAGTTCCAAGACAGCCAGGACTCTTACACAGAGAAACCCTGTCCCAAAAAAGCAAAACAAAAGTAATAATAATAATAAATAAATAAATAAAAATAAGTTTAAAAAAATTTTAAAGGAAAATGACTCAGCAGATCAGAGTGCTTACCAAACAGGCATGGAGGGAGGGAGGGGGAGGGGAGGGCCTGAGCTCAAATCCCCTGCACCCACATGAAACCCCAGGCATGGCCACAAGCACTTGTAACCCTAACACTATATGGGGAAGCAGGATGATGGCTGGGAATGCTGGCCACTAGTCTAACTCCAGGTTTAATGAGAGACCTTTTCTCAAGGAAATAGAGAGTGACACACCAGGACATTTGACATCCTCGTCTGATATCTACACAAACAGAAACATACACCAAACACACACACACAACACACACACACACACACACACACACACACACACACACAATGTATTTGTCATGCCCCTCTTAGATAAACTGAATCATAAAGTAACCAAATAGCCCTCAGATGATGAAGGAAGTCCTTTTTGTTCTTTGTGTGGTATATAAGTGTGTACAGGGATGTATAATAACGCACATCTCACACATACGCAGGGACCACGAGTACACTGGGTGTCATCCTTTATTGTTCTCTGCTCAACTGCCTGGAGACTGGTCTCACTGACCCTGGAGACAGGGTCTCTCACTGAATCCAAAGCTGACTGTTTTGACTAAGCTGCCAGTCCAGGGAGCTCCTATTCCTCATTTCTAAAGCTACGGCATGCAAACTATGCCTGACTTCTTACATGAGTGCTGGATCCTCAAGCTTGCACAGCAAGTACTCTTACCCATGGAGCCATCTCCCCATCCTGGAAGTCCTTTCTTAAGAAAGAATTTCAGCTAATTAATGAAGACATGATAGCACTGGAAAATAGTCATTTTGTTTCGCATATAGCCCTGGGTTCTATCTCTAGCACTGGGGGAAACAAAACAAACAAAACACCAGTCATCTTGTAACCCCAATAAGGTTCCAATGAGGGCGGACAACAAGTCAGGTGGTGAAAGCTAACGGGGAAACTCATTAGCTATCATGAGATAGAGAACAGCACCGCAGGAACAGGTACTTAGTATTGTCAGAGGCAGCACAAGACGATGCTGTGTTCCTCCTGTGAGGTGTATGTAAACCACATGCTGCCACCACTTTCCATTAAACCTAATCAAGCCTTTAAGAGCCAATATCCGTTTATAGGGACTAAGGAGGGACAAGATGAATGACACGGGAAGCGAATGACGCCAGAATGTCAGGAAAAGTGATCCAGTTTCTTAAAAAGCCAGGGACATTAAAAAATGAAAAAGGGAGCAGTGTGCCTGGCTAGAGAAGGCCTAAGAGGTAAGCATCATGTTCAAACTTTTAGATTCTTCTCGTGTGCAAACTTTTAGATTCTTCCTTTTTTTTTTGGGGGGGGGGGGGATTAGGTTTTGAGACCGGGTTTCTCTGTGTAGCCGTGGTTATCATGGAACTGACTATGCCTCGAACTCAAAGATCCACCTGCATCTGCTTCCCGTGTGCTGGAATTAAAGGTGCACACCACCTCTGCCTGGCTAGATTCTTCTTTTTAATTAAACAGATTTACTTCTTTTTAATTTAAAATTTTCACTGTACATTTCACTGTACATGGTACTCTGTTATATAAAGACAATTTTTTTCTTTTTAGACAATGAGTGAAACTGGAAAATGGCCATCCTATTTTCTGAGGCAGGGTCTCTCATATCATTGAACCTAGAGCTCACTAATTGACTAGGCTGGTCAGCCAATGAACTCTATGGATCTGCCTACCTCTGCCTCCCAAGCACCGGGATTACAGGTGCATGCTGCCATAGCTGACTGTGTGCTGTGGATCTGAAGTCAGGACTTCTTGCTCGAACTAACTGAGCCATCTCCCTTGCCACTGGCCTTGAACTTTTTATTCTCTTTCTTCCTGAGCACTGAGATTATAGGTAGGCACCATTGTGCCTGCCATGACAAAATTATTTTAACTTGCCCTTCCCCACAGCACAGCCCCTTGTCTGTTTGCATTTGATTTGGTGACAGGTGCCTGGAACAGGAAAGGTGGACCAAAAGGAACCCATCTTCCTGGGCCCTGCTTACCGCTTGGCTTCCTCCAGCCGGCACAGGTACTGATAGGCAACATTTTGTCGCCTCTGCTCATCCATCTCCTCAGCTGTGAGGCGTTCATCTGAAGTGTGAGGGGACACAGTCAAGCAATGCAGCCTTAGAGAGGGATTCCCTCACCCACACTGGGCAGCTCACAATGACCTGTAACAAACCCTCCTCTGCCTTTGTGGGCACCCCCACACACAAGGCAGATATACACACCGACACATGCCCACAAATAAAAATAAAATAAAGCTTAAAAAACAACAACAACAAAAAGACAGGAACCTCAGCTCTGATGCTGCTTCTGGACATATTTCCTAGGCAGCCCCTTCCGAGCACAGACGCACTCTCCAGGTCCTAGTTCTTCTCCCCAGTGAATCCATTAACAGGGAGCACCCTTCTCTTCCAGAGACATTTCCTTCTTTCCTCTGCAGCCATCTCCTGTCTTTCTCCTCTTTCCCAAGTCTGCCTCAATGTCACTAGCAGGGCTATCCAGAGCCGTCCTCAACTGGGAGCTTAGCTTTGAATGTTACCCTTCATTACATGCTAACTTCTCAAATATATGCTGCCACAGGTCTCCCTTGGAATCGCGGCTGACAGTCAAGGATTAAGCCCAGTCATTCATTCACTCTGTACCTTTCTGCCCCGCCCTGGGCTAAAAAAATACAAGCCCATCGAACATGCAAGAAACGACAGCTTTGGTGGATTTGTCTTTGACTGGGCACCAGTCATTCTTACTCTTTATCCTATTTCCTCATCTTGGATATCCTGCTGTACGGTTTCAGGAAGGGCTGGGCTTATTTGAATTGGCAGTTATAAAAGTTCAAACCCACAGACGCACACTTCCAAATACAGATTTGAAAGCACTGGCCAACGGCAGAAAACGCAGGAGTTCCTCTGAGAGAGTTTACAAGGAACAAGAGTTGGCTGTTCAAGAATGGAAAATAAACCCGTAAGAGAGTGACATCACCTCAGAGCTATGAATTGGGGACTCAGCGAGATGAAATGGGCGGGGCCTTGAGCGTGAGCACCAGAGCGCGCGCGCGCACAAAGTGTCTCAAAAAAGCCACACGAACCAAAAACAACCACCACAAAAATGTTTTTTTCTGGCACGAGCATTCCCTCACGTGGTGGGTGGACACCGATTCTGCTATTTGTGTCCAAGTGGTGAAGGACTGTAAAGAAAGCAGGTTTTGTTTTTCGTTCCGCCGATCCTTCCAGCCCTTCCCAGAAACCTGGGTCTCTCTCTAAGCAAACAGTGTTTCCGGTGGCCCAGGGCATCCTCTATGCACTGTGTAGCTAAAATTGATCGTGAACTCTTGACCCCCTGCCTCCACTTTCCAACTGCTGGACTTCCCGGAGTGCGCCGCCAAGCCCGCCCTCCGGGTGCTGCGTTTTAAACAAGCCGCCAGGTGACCAGGTACCAAGTCCTTTGAGACGCATTGCGGAATCCCATCCCGTGGCGCCCTTTGGCAAGTACGGGAACGGCAGGATTTAAGAGGCCACCTAGACTGTCTACACTCCCCGCCCCTGCGGCCCCAGAGCCTGGGGATGAGGGACAGCGCCCTTTGAAGGTTGTGCAGCGCGGTCACCCTGCGCACGCCCACTCCCCACCGTGCTCCAGGCAGCCCTCCCGCGAAGGCCAAGCCCCACCAGCAGCACCCACTCCACCCTGCTCAGGGCCCTCCCGCACTCACAGGCTGTCCGAGCCCGGCTTGCCGAACACGGCTCCATGTTCCCTCTCCTGCCAGTTTTGAATCTCCCGCCGCCGGGACACCACCCCTCACCGCGGTCACACCGGGATTGGGACACTTCCGGTCGTGCGCAGGGAATCTTGGGTTTCGTAGTTTCTCCCAGGTGGGGAGGCGAGGGATAGCTTTGGGGCAGTTCCTTGATTTATTTGCTCTTTCTGCAAGACCCGTTCTCTGCTCAGCTGGCTTTTTCAAATAGTCCCTGCCGCTGCCCTTCCTTTCATTAACCTGTCCCACTTCCTATAGAATTCCCGGGACTCCCTGTATGCTACTTGGTGTTATACACTGAACTAGGTGACAAATACAGGGGTAAGCATGCTCTCTAGAGAGTGGGGTTATAACAAGTGGTAGAGACAATGTCAAAAAGCTTGGAGGTCAGTGCCACACTGAGAATCACTGCGTGGACGGCAGAGACCTTCCTAGTGGAGGCTTCGGCTGATCATGAGGCAAGATTAAAAAAAAACAAACAAACAAAACAAAACAAAAAAAACGTTCTAATTTTTAAAAGGCATGGGTAGGGAATGGTGTTGTGGAATATGAATTGAAGATGTGTGGCATTTGTTTATGCTGTGAAACATTTGTTTAATGGTGCAAAGATGTGTTGCGTTCTTTCATGTTGCATTTGTTTAACTCTGTGAAAGCTATGTTACTTTGCTTGTCTAAACACCTGATTGGTGTAATAAAGGCTGAACAGCCAGTAGCTAGGCAGGAAAAAAGATAGGCGGGGCTGGCAGGCAGAGAGACTAAATCTGAGGAGAAAGAAATCTGGGTAAAGAACATCTGGGAGCAAGAGGAGGGAGGAGGACATTGGGGCAGCCACCCAGCTACACAGCAAGCCACAGTGTAAGAAGTAAAGGTAAGTATATAGAATAGAGAAAGGGGAAAGCCCACAGGCAAAAGGCAGATGGGATAATTTAAGAAAAGCTGACTAGAAACAAGCCAAATTAAGGCCAGCCATTCATAAGTAAGAATAAGACTCCATGTATTAATTTGGAAGCTGAGTGGCAGCCCCCCCCCACCCCCGAAAAAGTCAAAAGAGTAAAACAAAAACATAAAACAAAACAACAACAATAACAAAAACGCTACAAATGGGACCCCTCACCATGGGGGTGAAATCTCTACCAGCTAAGAGTTAAAACTTCCTACTTAGAGCTGTGTCTGCTCTTCCAGAGGATCTGGGTTCAGTTCCAGCATCTGCATGGTGGCTCACAGCTGCCTGTAACTCCAGCTCCAGGGGATCTGGCACCCTCACACAGACATTCATGCAGGCAAAACACCAATGCACATAAAATGAAAATAAATAAACCAGATGGAAAAAAAACTTTCTATACAACTAACAATTGATGTAAGGACTACCTACAGAGATAATATTTTTTTAGATTTTATATATTTATTATGTATACAATATTCTGCTTCCATGTATATCTGCGCAACAGAAGAGGGCACCAGATCTTATAACTGATGGTTGTGAGCTACCATGTGGTTGCTGGGAATTGAACTCAGGACCTCTGGAAGAGCAGTCAATACTCTTAACCTCTGAGCCATCTCTCCAGCCTGAGATAATATTATTTTTATACAGAAATATTTCAAGTAAGAATGGTACAATATGAGGAGTGAACATGATCATAGCACATTGTAAACATATATGAAATTTCCAAAAGGAAAAAAGGAAAGAAAAACATGTTAAAATTACAGTGGGTCTTCCAGTCTGGCCTTACCCCTCTTTTTCCAGATATGAACCTGCAATGTGGAATGAAAGCCTAAGGGTTCCCCAAGTCCCTTAGGGACCCCAGCCTACAGTGCCTTTGGTAACTGCTGAATTTTAAGGGGCTTTCTAAATCATCCACATTCTCCTAACCCCGGAGCCCCAGAACCTGGGAATAAAGGAGAAGGTTCTGCAGCTAGAGAGCAGGCACGTTTACCTGCTTGTAGGCATACTTCTGCAGGCTCCCACAGAGCAGTGCTTTGGGCAATGCCTCCTACAAAGGCCAAGCCCCTTTCTTGGGAATCTCACATATAAGAATATAAACACTGTTTACAGTGAAAAACAGTTCAACTGTCTTGTGCAATCTTCATGTCTGCCTAAGGCTTTTCCTTCTCTGTGTGACCTGGTCCTGTGCACCTAGTCAACCAACCTATGATCCCATTTAAGTTCCTTGGCAACCTTCTCAGATGTAACTGCAGAAGCCATCGAAATCTGATGCTTGGTTATTACAAAGGCATAAAAAAGCATGACTCACGCAGAAGCCCACACCCATGATTGGTGTGTACTCTCTTTTTTCCCACTATTAACAGATGTGCCTAAAAATCCGTTCAAAACTCTTAAGAAAAAAACTCCAAGCCGGGCGTTGGTGGCGCACACCTTTAATCCCAGCACTCGGGAGGCAGAGGCAGGCAGATCTCTGTGAGTTCCAGGTCTGGTCTCCAGAGCGAGTGCCAGGATAGGCTCCAAAGCTACACAGAGAAACCCTGTCTCGAAAAACAAACAAACAAAAAACCTCCAATTCTGTTTCATTCTGACTTGTCCTGCAATTCTTTTCTGCTGCAAAATTTGAAACCTGGTTTTGCCTGGTAGATGTGTCTGCATGGAGCTGTGCCTCTGGTCCCTGATAATCCAAGTTGAAAAGGGAAGAATTTACCAGGTTAAAGGTGAGAGGCATTCTACACAGTGGAAACAGCATGTGTAAGAATATTAGGGACATTAAACTTGTGTTAGTGATGTGGAAAAGGTCAGCTAGGGAGAAGGATGTGTCTTACACATCTTAGGCAACTTGCCAAGGTACTGAGACAAGGGCTGGTGAGCAACTGCTAACCCTTCAGACGCAGGTCAGAGCAGCTTGGTGCTTTAGAAAAGATGACAGCAAGGGCTTGGAGAGAGTGAGACTGGGTACAGACTAATTGGGAAGCTACTTTGGTGGCACGGAGGACAGATAATACGGCTTCACTAATAAAGACAATTATAACAGCTCTGGTGAGAAAAGGACCAGGCTTAGTGTGTGATAGGCTTCTAGGACCTGTATTTATCCCTTCGTCCTTCTCCACACATCATGCAAGCAGCAGCGGCCAAGGCTCAAAGCTTCATGGCAGACATTTGAAAAGGCTCCATGTCCGTTATTGCAAATTGTCAACTTGGCAGAATCACCTGGAAGATAGGCCTCTGGGCATGCATGCCTCTGGGGGATTATCTTGATTATGTTAACTGATGTGGGAAGACATTTAAAAATTGTGGGTGGGACCACTACCTGGACAGGGGATCCTGGACTATATAATGTGGAGCTGAGCAAAAGGCACTGCATTCGCCACTCACTGTTTCCTGATTGTAGATGCAGCTACTTCAAGCTCCTGCTGCTTGGACTTCGTACCATGATGAACTGTGAGCTAACATAAATCCTTTCTCACTTCAGTTACTTTCTTTAAAATATATATATATATATATATATATATATATATATGTATATATATATATATATGAATGCTTTTTGGAGATTTTAATATAATCACAATATTTATCCCTCTCATTTCCTCCCTTCAAACTCTTCCATATACCCCCACTTCTCTCTTTCAAATTCACAGCCTCTAGCCATTTATTTGTGCTCTTTCTGATTCTTTAATGCTGGCACTTACAGCTACAACCCCCTCCCCCAGTAAGGCTGCTTTCAATGTGTCCCAGGGGTTTTGTTGGTTGTGTTTTTGTTTTCATTTAGTTCTGGAAAGTTTTTTTATTTGTTTCTTGTTGTTTTCTTTGACCCACTGATCATTCAGTAATGAGCTGTTTAGTCTCTATGAGTTTGCATACTGACTAGAGTTTTTTTTTGCTGTCAATTTCAAGTTTTATTGCATTGTGCTCAGATAGGATACAAGGAGTTATTTCAATCTTCTTGAATTTGTAAAGATTTCTGTGTTCCAGATGTGGTCTACTTTAGAAAAGCTTCCAGAATGGTCATTCTTTGGTATGTGGGTGAAACATTCTGTAGATACTTGTTAAGTCCATCTGGAGTACGATGTCAATTAGTTGGGATGTTTCTCTGTTTATTATTTTATTTTGTTTTGTTTTGTTTTTCTGAGACAGGGTTTCTCTGTGTAGCCCTGGCTGTCCTGGAACTTGCTGGCTCTGTAGACCAGGCTAGACTCGAACTCAGTGCGATTCACCTGCCTCTGCCTCCTGAGTGCTGGTATTAAAGGCGTGCGCCACCAGTTACTCTGTTTATTTTTTGTCCAGATGACCTCTCTATTGGAGAAAGCGGGGTACTGAAATCACCAACTATTAATGGATTGGAATTAATTTGTGTCTTTAAGCACTGTACTAGATTTTTTTTTTATGAAATCATGCACCCCAGAGTTCGATGCATATATGTTTAGGATAGTAATGTCTTCTTTATTAACCGTTTCTTTGCTTAGAATGAAATGTCCCTCTTTATCTCTTTTGATTTGCTTTAGTGTTTGTCATTTATTAGGATGGTGATACCTGCTTGCTTCTTGGTTCCATTTGATTAGAGCAATTTTGTCTATCTTTTTTACTCTAAGGTGGTACCTATCTTTAAAGCTGTGTTTCTTGGAGGTAACAGATAGATGGATTTTGTTTCTTGATTAATTCAGTCAGTCTGTGTCTTTTGAATGGAGAACTGAGGCCACTGGTATTTAAAGTTATTATTGAAATGAATATGTTGCCGGGCATTGGTGGCACACGCCTTTAATCCCAGCACTGGGGAGGCAGAGGCAGGCGGATCTCTGTGAGTTCGAGGCCAGCCTGGTCTCCAGAGTGAGTGCCAGGATAGGCTCCAAAGCTACACAGAGAAACCCTGTCTTGAAAAACAAAACAAAGCAAACAAACAAAAAGAAATGAATATGTTAATTGTGATCATCATGTTTATATTCTCAGTGGTATTCTGTGTTTTAATAATTACAGAGGGAGTGCAAGGATGTGGTGGACAAGACAGAAGGAACTGGACAATGATTTGGAAATTATCTCGGTTGTGGGAGTTCCTTCAGGATCTTGGCTAAAAGCACTTTCAGCCCCTGCCCCTCCCCAGATGATCCTCCTGAAGGCCTGCTGGATGGCCACTTGGTGGCCTAATAGGCCTGGAAAGGCTTGCTAGCACCGCTGAAAGTCCAGGCTAGACCAGAAGCTTCAGCCTGCCTGGGGCACAAACATGGTGCTTCGTACCAGGCTGGCACCAAAGACTGTGTTGCAACTGTGATCAGCATGTCTACTCCATGACTTTCTTTCTGACAATGGCCTGTCTACTTCAAAAGGGCTTTTCCCTAAGTAAATGAGGACATCTACTTTCAGATGCAAACATCGATGGTGAGTCGGTGAGTTAGTGAGTCCTGGTTATTGTGGGGCCTCCTGTCTTCTCATTAAACAGAACTTGGAGGGACAAGGAGGCTCTTCTACTCTTCAGGGTTCCTATGCCCTTCACCTGCCATCCTGTTACCAGCTGTAAAGATGTCATTCAGTGCACACTTATGTATGCTTGTGAGTGTGCTTGCATGCGTGCTTGTGAGTGTGCATGCATGTGTGCATGTGTGTATGCATGTATGTATTCAAGGTGTGTACACATGAAAAGTCCACTTCTGGGATAGTCTATGCCTCATTAAAGTTTGTAGTCACTCTGTAGCAGGTGGAGCTCCTTGGCTTGTCACCTCCCCTTTGAAAGGGGACTGAGCAGGGCATGGTGACACATATCTGTAATGCCAGCACTCAGGAGGCTGAGGAAAGAGGATCGTAAGAACCTACCCTAAAATTAAAAATAAATACAAATTAAATTAAAAAGAAGAGATGGGAGGGGATAGATAATCTTTGTGGATATAATTAATTAATAGTCCCATGATGTTTTGGTTTATTATTTGAAGGAACTCGAGAGTGTGTCTACAGAGGTAGGGCAGCGAGCAGTTGGTCAGGAAGGGAATAGGGCCTTAGGAAGCTGTGCCTGACCACCTTCAAGATTCTGCACAGCTGTCACTCAAAGCATCACCTGGGAGTAGGGGGTGGTGCCCGGGTATCTGGTAACACAGCTCTGAGCTAAAAGCTAGTAAGAAGTAACCCAAGCCGGAGGAACCATTCCAGAAAGCCAACCATGGAGGAAATAGCACCGAGGTAAGAAATCCTGTGATGGGGTCCCCAGAACTGTATGGAGACATCCAGAATGCTTCAAGGCTGGGGACCCTGCCAAGTCAGGATTTCATGTGTGTTTAGAAACAATACTCCCTCATTTTTCCCTCTCCTCTGCCTCCTCCCTCCCTCCCTCCCTCCCTTTCTCCCTCCTTCCCTCCCTCAGTGCATCCATTCACCCCTTTCTCCACCACTGAGCTAAATCCCCAGCCCCAGAGATAATTTCTTTGAAAAGAGGTGTCCCTTCTGCCTCCTCTCTAAAAAAAGAGAAGAAAAAGAAAGGAGGCTTCTCTGAGTGGGGCAAGGCTGTGCCTTTCCAGGAGAAAGACCCCTACAGGAAACACGCTGATGGAAAGAATGTATCTGGACTTAATGGGGTCTGAGGACCAGAACAGGAGCCAACTAACTGACAAAAGTAGAGGAGATGGTAGGAAGGGCATAGTAAACACAGGCAGACCCATCCTGGACATGGGCTTCTTGCTAATTCAGCATCCTTTTCATCTTTGGTTGCCTGGGGCTAGCACAGCTTCTAGTACACACGGTGGGGGCTAGCACAGTTTCTGGCACACACTGGGGCTGCTTGTGCTGCATTCCATTGTGTTATGATACAGCAGCACATAGAGCCTGAGAAAGCAGCTGTGTGCACAAGTGCAGTGTGAAAGAGGCAGGAGGGAAGCCCTGTGTGTGCTGTTTGGTTTTTGGTTGGTTGGGTTTTGTATTTCGAGAGTGTCTTTATATGTAGCCCTAGCTGTCCTGGAACACTATGCAAACCAGGCTGGCCTCAAACTCACATAGATCTTCCTGTCTTTACCTCCTGAGTACTGGGGTTAAAGATGTGCACTGCCATGACAGCGAGCGTGTGTACATGTATACCAGAAGCTTTGGATTCCCTGGAGCTGGAGTTACAAGCAGTTGTTAGTCATCATGTGGGTCCTGAGAACCAAACCTGAGTCTTCTGCAAGAGCAGCAAGTGCTTTTTAACTGCTGGGCCATTGCTCCAGCCCCAATCCTTTAGTAAACTTCCACTGAAATCTAATTGCCTTCCACTTGTTCCAGGCTAGTGGAAGACAAAGTCAGCCTTGCTAACCACGTGTGATAAATGAGGTCGGTGGTACAGTTCAGCGAGAGTGCTTGTTTTGAATGCTGGGTTTAATCCTAGTACTTTTGGGGGGGGGGAAATCCTATGAAAGTACAGAAGTTCGCAGGGACTTTTGTTTGGTGTTTGGTTTTTGTAGCAAGGGGGATTGATTCATGGAAGGGGGCTTTCAGGAAGCAGCCATTACTTGATCTGAGTGCTGACAAAGAACCCAGGAAGAGTTCTTAAAAAGTGGGAATCAAAATGCTGCCCAGTGGGACACAGGAAGCCATGTAAGAGGTCAGAGGCCAATCCTTGGTCCCCTGAGGTCAGAGGGATCCTACTGGAGCAGTGGATGGGGAGAGCAAAGGCTGACATGCTGGCCCCTGTTTTCCCTGGTGTCATCCCTAGGTCTTCCCCTGTCCCCAGGGGTAGCCACCTGAAACTTGAGCCTGTGCCCAAACCTTCAAATTGCAAGAAGAAAAAGGAGAAAAGGAAGTGGCTGCAGCAAGAAGCTAACATCCAGACCCTCACCAGGGCTGGCCTCAGGGCCCTGCAGGCTGGTCAGGCTCAGGAGGCCTTGGGCAGCTTCCAGAAGGCTTTCCTGTTGGCCTCCAAGGTCCTATCTACCAGAGATAGCCCTGTTCTTCGAGCCTGTGCCTTTAACCTGGGTGCTGCCTATGTGGAGACCGGGGACCCAGCCATAGGACTTGAACTACTTCTGAGAGCCCATCCTGAAGAGAAGTTTGAAGGCTGGTGTCATGGTGACCAGTGTTTCAACGTGGCTTTGGCCTATCATGCCCTTGGTGAACTGACCCAAGCTTTGGACTGGTACCACAGGGCTCTGGGCCATTACCAGTCACAGGGGGACCATGGGGAAGCACAGGCAAAAATGGGAGCCTGCTACGAGGCCCTGGGATGGCCTAAGCAAGCAGCCTGCAGTTTACAGGAAGCAAGCCGGGCCTATGCTCGTGCAGGCCAGCTCTGGGACGCAGCCCTGGCTCAGGTGGCTGCAGTGAGATGTATGCTGAGCAGTGGGCAGCATGGACCGAGTGAGGTACTTCAGGCTCTGGAGGAGAGCCGTGAGCTTGCTGATGCTGACTGCAGCACTGACCGGGCACTGCTGGGTGAGCCTTAGTAAAGAAGGTGCAGAGCCTCAGCCTGGTGGTGCCCTGAGTGCTGGGAGGGAACTGGGAGCTGGAGGATCGGGTGAGGCACTGCACAGCTTTCCTTATAGCTCATTTGACTACTAGTGACTGTCTTACTCTCCAGGGCCACTCTACAATGATCTAGGCATGGGTTACTTCCAGCTTCAGCTGTTCCCTCTGGCAGTAGAGGCCTTCCTACAGGCCCTACCCCTGTGTCGACAGCCAGCAGAGCAGGCAACAGTGCTTCAAAACCTTGGAATGGCCTACAATGTCCTTGGCAGCTATCAAGAAGCCCAAGAGTTTCACCAGAAGGCTGCCAATCTACATGGTAGGTTTCTGGGACTGGGGAATGGGGTCAAGACTGAAGGATTAAGAAGTTCCAGCACTCGGGATATATATATCTATATCCCGAGTGCTTGCCTAGCATACACAAAGCCATGATTCCCAGACAAGGAAAACCAAGTGTGGTGTACATCTGTAATCTCACTACTCAGTAGGTAGAGGCAAGAAAATCAGAATCTTGAAGTCATCCTTGGTTACATATCAAATTCAAAGCCAGCTTGGGTTACATAGTATCCTGTAAAAAAAAGAAAAAGAATAAAAGTTCCAATGGGCCTGGTGGTTCCCTGAGGTCTGGGAGGGGACTGGGGAACCCGGAGGAGCGGGGTCGGGAGCTGTATTTGTATATGTGTACACCCAGCAGTCTTGGTGGATGGATCTTTGGGACCACCTAGGACTGCCTGAAATGGGAGAAGGAATGGAGCAGAAGGTTGTGGACTCAGTGGCCTGGGCCTGGAAGTTGAGAGACCAGAAGTGCTGCCCTGGATCTCCTGGGCTGAGTGTGACCTTCAGCAGAAAATCACTTCCTGTCTCTGCTATGAGGGGCTGGTGAGATGCCTTGGCAGGTGGGGTGCTTGCTGCCAAGCATGCCGGCCTGAGTTCAGTCCCCAGAACCCATGTGGATGAAGGAGAGCACCTATTCCCAGAAGTTGTCCTCAGACATCCCCCAGGCACATTCATATTCCTACAAAAATAAAGGTGGAAAAATTCAGACAGTGGATAGCTGGGGGCGTGGCCCAGTGGCAAAGCACTTGCCTGGCATATACAGGGCCCAGGATTCCTTTCCTAACTTAAACATAGCATCCACATCGCATAAATGTCACTGAAACGGCCGGGCGTTGGTGGCAAAGAAAGACAGACACTGAGCCCAGCGTTGGTGACTAACGCTTTTAATCCCAGCACTCGGGAGGCAGAGGCAGGCGGATCTCAGTGAGTTCGAGACCAGCCTGGTCTACAAGAGCTAGTTCCAGGACAGTCTCCAAAGACACAGAGAAACCCTGTCTCGAAAAACCATAACCTGGGTTCTTAGCCCTTAATTAGTTTTTTGTTTGTTTGTTTTGTTTTTGTTTTTGTTTTTTTTCCTGCTGGGTATGGCAGAAACCCCTGCTTTAATCCTAACACTATAGAGGTAGAGACAGAACTCTGAATTCCACCAGCTAGGTCCTACACAGTTAAAAAAAAAATTGCTTTTTGTCTCAAACTATTAATCTAACCTTGACTGACTGACTCACTGGCTCAAACTGGCCAGGGAGGCATTTGGGGGTAAAACTTGTGGTGAGAGAGGCTAAACCTGGACAGCTTAGGCCTTTGTGTCACCTAGAGGCACTGAATCTGGGCTCTGGGACACCTGGAAACCTCCCTTGTTTGGGGAAGGGTCTCGATGCAACCAGCAACCAAGTCCCTATACAAATGGATGCGTTTTGGTTTCAGGCTCTGTGGGCCAGCGGTTGGAGCAAGGTCGGAGCTTTGGCGGTCTGGCATTTTCACTGAGCCAGATGGGGGACCACAGGGCTGCTTGGGACAGCTATTTGCATGCCCTGCAGGCTGCCCAAGACACTGGTAAGGATGAGCCGGTTATCTTGGAACTTGGGAGGGCAAAGACTGAGGGTGTACAGTGCTGCAAGGGTCTGTTTAACGGGGAACATGAGACCTTTCAAGCTCTCTTCCTTAGGGGACATGAAAGGACAGTGGCAGGCCTGTGAGGGCCTTGGGGCAGCTGCAGCCAGACTGGGGCAACATGAAAAGTCCTTGAAATACTATAAGGAAGCGCTGGCCCAGTGTCAGGTGAGACCCTCCATGATGGCGTCTGACTCTTCCTGCCCTCCCCTCCTCCCTCCGTCAGCCTCCTCTGGCTGACACTGCTGCCTTGTGCCTTGCGCCCACCTCATAGTTACTGACTAGAAACACTAACCACCCCAGGTCCTGGGCTGTTACCTGGAGGCAGAGGCAGTCTGCCCACAGTTCTGGGCTTGGTGGCACAGGAGCGTGTGGGCAGGGCACAAAAAGAGGCAAGCGGAGTTCTTGCCCTTCTTTCCTTCCTTCCTTCCTTCCTTCCTTCCTTCCTTCCTTCCTTCCTTCCTTCCTTCCTTTCTTTCTTTCTTTCTTTCTTTCTTTCTGTCGTTTTCCCTTTTCTGCAGACTGTATAGTCCAGTCTATTCTCATTCACCCATTATCCCCCTCTGCCCAGCACGAACCGGGTTCTGTACGAGAGCGGCTTGTGGCCAAGCTGGCGGATGCCATGCGGACCTTCTTGGCTCAGGAGAGGCTAGCCCGGGCTCCTATCCTGGTAACATGACACCTGAGACCAGGAGGCGGGGGTGGGAGCAAGTTGCCCAGAAGGGATGTTCTCAGGGTTCCACATTTAACTGTTCTTGTGTTCATCTTCCCCTGGGTTTGCACAAGGGATGTATGTATCAGGTTGTGGGGGTGGGGCAGGGAGGTGAGCGGAGACTGTGTCTGCACAAGGGCTGTCCCGCGACTCTGGCTGAGCGGTAACCCCTTAGGGTTAAAGGCCAAGGCCTTTAGCTATTTGTATGAAGAATTGGGAGCCGGTCGTTGGGTGCAATTCTCTGAATGGCCACAGGAGGGGGGTGGTGCTCCAAGAAAGATCCAGGAGTTGTATCGTCAATGGGGATGCTCCAGGTCCCCCTAGACTCTGCTTCCAGCTAGTTTTGCTTCCCAGGCTCTCCCCAGAGGTCATGGTCCCTCCGAATGCTTTCCTCTGTAGGAAACTTCCTCTCACCCCTAGAATTCAAATGTATGCTTTATTATAGGGATTGAATGAATTGAATGACCTCTTGGTTTCGAGACAAGGCTTCTCTGTGTAGCTTTGGGTGTCCTGGAACTCGCTCTGTAGAACTGGAACTCACAGAGATCCACCTGCCTCTGCCTCCCAAGTGCTCGGATTAATAACGTGCGCCACCACCGCCTGGCACCCTATTGTTTCAAAGACCAGGACACTGTATAATCTTTGAGCACAATTAAATTCAACTGAAACAGGAGATGCAGTTCAGTTGTAGAATCCTTGCTCAGCATTAAGTGTGAGGCCTGCTGTTTTTCTGTCAGCACAGAGGCTGCATTTTAATCTGCTGCTGTGTTAGCCAGCAAATGCAGCTCCACAGTTACTGGCCTGCTTCTCTGGCAGTGACCTGACTGCTCAGGCTGTGTCCTGGTGGGAATTCTGTTCCCACAGGCACCAGCTATGTTGCTGCTGCCAAATATAGCTTTTAATTAAATCTCTATTGTTCTACTTATCAATAAGACTCCAGAATCAAAGACTGAGGTGAAAACCTGCTAGCTCAGAGAGGTTAAGTAGCAACTAGCTGACCTTTGCGTGGGCATCTCTAAAAGAAGGTGTACTTATGCTCCACCAAAACAGATGAACCCATGCTACACTAAGTCCCTCCCTACTACTTCCTGTGCATCTCTCTATTGTTTTACAGACACCCCATGGCTCTATGATTACTTTCTGTCAACTAGTTGCTAACTCAGCCTCCTGACCCAAGGTTGATTTTATTTAATGAACACAAATGCAAACTCAGACTTCGCAGTTTGATCAAATATTCTACAAGAGAGGCCCTAAGTTCAGTTACCACACTGGGGGATTGGGGTAGTTATGCTGGAACAGACAGGGGCTTGGATTCAAAGTCAAAAGACTTGGGCTCCAGCCAAGGTCACTCACCAACTCTGACAGTACCAGAGAGGCTTGAGACATGACAGGGTCAGGTTAGGGTTTGGCCAGCAAGCCCAGTTTGTAACCTAAGATTTAGTAAGTGGACCTCTATAGCACAAAGGACCTCACTTCAGAATTTGATTTTCAGAATCCCCTGGGCTGTCTCCAGTAAGTCTGTGTGTGTGTGTGTGGGGGGGGTACTATGGCTCCCTGTAGGCAGCTAGAAGGACAGTGTGACAGCCAAGTGGTCATTTTTCCCAGCCCTCTGATTGGTGAACATGACCGATTCAGGAGGACCTCAGAGACAGGACCGTGAGTGGAGGGAGTGGGAAGAACATGCCCACTCTTGCAGTTGGAACTCCCATCTCTCTCTCCTGGTCCCCCCACCCAGGTCTGCCCCCCTTCCCCAGCTCCTCAGGTTGCTGACCTCTGCACAGCCTTTCCACATTTCTGTTTGTCTTTGAGGGCCTGGTCCATCTCCTCCAAGCCCTTCCCAGGTGTGTGTGTTCCCTCCTGTCTAACCCTTAACCCTTGAGCACAGGGCTGTGGAGAACCCACTCGATGTCAAGCTCTGTGTTCTCTCCTGTCTAATACGTTAACCCTGGAGCGCAGTGCTGTGGAGAGCCCGCTCCATGTCAAGCTCTGGGCTAGGCCTTGCTTCTTACTCAGCTGTCACTCAAAGCCTCTACGTGGTAAGCTGGCTTGTTTTTTTTCAGTCTGTTCTCTTCTGGCAAGGGACTCATACCACTGTCACTAGGTTACCAAGCACCTGGCCTGTACAAGGCATCCTTCACGAAGTGACCAATCCATGCCTGGACATTCACACCCCACTTGTCCCCACCCCTGCTTCCTCTCTCCCGCCGTGCTGTCCTGGTTATGAAGAGGCCTCTGACAAATGTATCCGACCCTCTCCATCCAGGCTTAGGAGCCACGGCTCATCTTCCATCTGGAGGCCTCAGTCCCAATGGAGCAAAGCACCCCATCATCACAGCACCCAACAAGCTCCAAGTCAGTAGGTAAGTCCCAGGGGAGGGGGGGGGCCTGGAGGACAGACAGCACAAGTAAAAGAAAGTAGCTTGTGGTGGTTTTAAGTGAGCATGACCGCTGTTAGGTTGAGGGAAGAGAGGTTCTCGTGCTTGGCAGTGTCCCTGGCTCCTGCACCGACTGTCTGCAGGCTTGAGAAAAGCAGAGTCCTAAAGAAAATAGGGATGAGAAGCTGCAGACAGAGAGGCCACCTCTCCTGCTTCCCCAGGTGCCCCATGGCAGGCCCTTCTGACTCTTTTAGGCCATCCATGTGTACCAAGCAAGCCCTCAGCAGGAACCCCCAGGAGACATGCACCCATTCTGGCTTCTGCACAATCATGTGACCTGTACCTGCTGGCCACAGCCCTCACCTCTGCAGGAACTTCCCAATATGTATGCATGTAGGGGCTCTTGGGGGAGGAGCCTCTTCAGCAGGTATGGACATAGGCAGGCTAAGGGCTGTGCTGCCTCAGCATTGAGATTCTCTTTGTTCTTGGTGAGTCTTTAACTCAGTAGACAAAAGAAAACTGGAAAATGGATGGTGACACTGACCTTTGCTCTTCTGGATTAGGAGGTCATAACTGCTAAGGTCTTTGCCAGCTCTAAAAATGACTCCCTAGCTCGGGTGACTTTGGGACCACTGACCTTCTTCATGCCCCCTTTTCCATGTGGGAGACAAGGATTCTATACAACAGAAGATATGAAAGAACAGACGCTCTGCTACCGCCCCCTGCAGGACACCCCAGGTCACAGCAGCAATAATGATGTGACTTTTATTAAGCCTACTCCACATCCTAAATACTTACAGGTATTTCTTCACAGGAGCATGTGAGAAAAAGAGAGAACTTGGCATGTTGGCCCAAGCCTGTGATCCTAACACTCAGAAGGAGGCAGGAAGATCACTACTTTAAGGCCAGCCTGGGCTACATAGTGAGATTTATCTTTAAAAAAAAAAGGGGGGGGTATAGCAGGCTTTCTTGAACCACCAGCCCCCAAATCATGACATGGAGATTTATTATTAATTATGAATGCTCAGCTTAGCTTAGGCTTGTTTCTAGCTAGCTTTTGTTTAATTAAGCCATTTCTATTAATCTGTGTGTTGCCCTGAGGCTTATTTACCTCATCTACTGTATTGCCCATCAGCTTTCCTACCTGTTGCATGTCTGTCTGTCTGCCCCCCCTTCTCTCTCCTCCCACCAGCCCTGCCTGTCCCTCCTCTGCCTAGCTATTGGCTGTTCAGCTTTTTATTAGACCAACCGAGTGCCTTAGGCAGACAAGGTTAAACAAATGCAGCATAAACAAATACGCCACATCTTTACATAGTTAAACAAATATTCTATTCCACAAGACCAAAAAGACCCAGGCCAGGAGATCCCTGCAATTTTGAGGCTAGCCTGGTCTACATAGCAAGTTCCAGGCCAGTCAGGGCTATATAGTGAGATCTTGTCTCAAAAAAAAAAAAAAAAAAGTGAAACGAAACAAAAATCCAACAAAAAACAAAGATGAGGAAAAGGAGGCTCAAAGGTTAAGGGCTTAAACTTCCAGACACACAAACAGTCCCCTGAGGTGCTATTCATTGATGCAGCCAGCTGTGTAGCCTCACTCCCACCTGAGATGGCCCGCAGTCTGCTATGATTTAGTACAAAGCGTGAATCTAGGACCTAAGTGTGAAAAGAAGATTTGTTCTACAAAGCTGAGTTGGATCCTTAAAAGATTCATTCAAACTAAGTCACTTTTCTAATTGTTTCTGTTTATTTCACTTGGAGTTAGGGACTGAGGGTCTAACAGGGCATGTGCTAAGCAAGCCCTCCAACACTGGCTCGAGGCCAAGGTTTGTCAATTAAAAAGCTGCAGTTGAATTAGAGACAAGCAAGGAGGGTTTTACAAAGTGGCCCAAATCCTAAGAGTCTAGAGTAATCTAGCACTCCAATTGTTTTAGACATTCATGAGCTGATTCCCTTTACGGATGCAACCTAAGGGTGGGGAGGAGTTTGGAGAGAAGGTTAAAAGCATTTATTGTTCTAGAGGACTGGGGTTCAATTCCCAGCACCCACATGGTGAATCACAATCATCCATGACTCTAGTTCCAGGGGACCTGAGGGCACCAAGCACACATGTGATTCACAGATGTACATGTAGGCAAAATACTCATACACATAAAATAAAATAAATAAATCTAAACAAGAAGCAAACTGGAGATGGTTGGTATACAGGTTACCCTTAAAGTTTGTATTAAAACATGAAAAATATGGCTGGACGGAGGTGGTGCACACGTCTTTAATCCGAGCACTCGGGAGGCAGAGGCAGGCAGATCTCTGAGTTTGAGGCCAGCCTGATCTACAGATCGAGTTCTAAGACAGCCAGGGCTACATACACATCTAGTGCAGCTTCTCTGTGTTCAAAGAGGTGTGTAAATGTTGTGTCCGGCAATAGGTCCTCGCCATCAATTTGTGGAGAGCGACTAATAGCCTTGCCAATAACCCAAGTTGTTTGGGGGATTCCATGGGGCCCCTTTGGCCATCCAGTCAGTTGGATGTAACCCACTCCTGGTGCTCAAGGCTTCATTTGGTGGTAAAAGGGTGATTAGGGCTTTGTCTTCT